GCCATTATGCGTGAGGATGATCATTTGCGTCCTCAGAGTCCATGTTTTGTGGGTTTTGTCCGATTAGTGAAAGCAAGAAAGGTTCTTAGGTCCAGTTTTAAAGAAATCAAGAAAGGTCATCAGATCTGGATTTAAAATGTGTCCCATTACCATTCCCTCATCTATAGTGTCGTAGTAGTCGTAGATACGTCGACAGGAATTCCATTGAAAGGTGTTTTACTAAGGCATACGCGAGCATAAAAACTTATCGAAATGTCATTGCGATAAGCCTTTTTACTCTGGTATTCCGTAGTGAAAGTATTATCGCTCAAGGAGAAATGAAGAGATCATCACTCACAGAAAAAATTGAAAAAATCTAAATTATCATTAATTTGTTTACCATTGCTGACGTTTGGATAAGATAATGAGGCAGAAGAGTGGTACGGATCGGTGCGTAGTACGGAATTAGCGATTTAGATAAGCTGGAAAAACCACTATGTTTATCTTTGTGGTATTCGATGGTGGGATGGAAAATTTCGCCATGTAGAACGTTCTCAATTCGCGACTTAGGCTTCCGAAATGCATACTCAGTCTCACAGGCCCCGCCCACGCGCAGGCCACGCCCTTCGATTCAATACAAGTGAATGAACGCGTTATTCTGTCACTTTTGTAAAGTACCTCAAAAGAGGGACAATGTATGCCTATTCTGAGGTAACTTACAAAAGTGATATGTGGGAGATACTTGAACAAAGGTGACCATGCGGACAGATACCGGTCTTTTTTGGAATCCAATTTCAAGGTGAAAGTCAGGGAAAGCCCCCGAAAACTCGTCCATTTTTGACTTGCTTGTTTTCGATTTTAGGTGTTTTCGTGGTTTGCGTTGGCTGTGGCACATTTGCCCTCTTACATTTGCTTTACTCACTTTTCGACCCCCTTAGTCACCTTTCCGAGAAGAAATCATACATTAGACAGCAACTGCTGCCCGATTCTCTATCTCAGCAAATATTCGCTCTTTTTCATCCGATTTGAATCATCTTGACGTTCTGAACTGGCGATAACAGCGTCGTCAAAGAGCGACTTTGAACAAGTAGTCCATTGAACTGTTAATGTTCTTGGTTTCCCATCTTGCCGAGATGTTTTGAGCGTACCGTCTTTTTGGTGCACTCTGCACTGAGTTCGGGAAGAAAATCTCCCAAAGGTACCGAGTGTGGATCACGTTCGGGGTATTTCATTGGTTTTCGGGAAAAGGTGAAAGTTTTCATGGTCAGAACTGCAACCAGTTTTATAATGGGCAGTTTAAAGTGGTACGAAATATCACAATCGATTGGCGAAATCGCTTGTTCATAGTCTGATTCCTCAGGGCCCAACCTTGACGGATTTGCCCAACTTCTCAGCCCTAATGGTTAGAGCATTAAGACTAATAGGCGACAGCTGACTCATATTTGAATGAGACGAAAAGCCAAACCGTGAAGCAAAAGATGAACTTTGCCGATGAAGTGTGGGAGGAGCAGGTGGAAGTGGGAAGGACGGGAAGTTCCGCAGCCATTGCGCCACTTACCACCCAGAAAAAAGGTTGGAATCAGCGAAGTTCCAGTATGTGTGGATTGTTTGACTGGCTTTCCTCTGCCACGTTTCGTCAATTCTTTGATGGATGCCCCATACTAACCGCTACAGTACTTAATTAATCTACTGCTTACAACTTACTGATAGCAATTTTTGGAATGCGAAACGCATTAGTCCTCCTGATGGTACTGTGATGTTACTAAATTACCCAGGCAGCATGGGCCAGAAGGCCGGAGGATGTGTGTAACTGTGTTCTTATGCTTCCTAACGATTTCTGTACCATTGTAGCCAAAGTTGATGAAGGAAGTCCTCCAGTGTGAACCAATCCAGTTTCTGAAATGTCCTCCTCTCCCATTCGCTTTTTATTCAGAATTGTAGTGTCGTATAGAATGCGTATATTTCTTATACAACGAATTACGGGCAAGTACCCCGGTCAGTGCTTTTAATCTTCCAAACGGATCTGATGCCGATTTCCCGAACCTAAAGGATGGAGACTTTGCTTGGCGGGTATGGATCCGGGACTCGATCTCAGGACCATGTGGTAGTGGGCGCCGCCTGCCACTACTTCGCCCCCGTCCAATAATTTGGTTCAAATAAGAAAAATATAGTCGCGAGTGGAATCCTGAATCCTCTCCATATCTTTTCCGGAACGTGTTGCTCATCGATGTTTATCATTTAATTTTTGTCATTGTATCATTGTATCGTATCACTTCTGAATCATTTTTTAAACATGGTGCAGTCCACGTAAGGCAACAAGAATTCTATTTTTACTAGAATTGCTACGTGTTTTGGGGTATTTTAATGGGTAATGTGGGCATATCTACAAGTCAAGACAATGAAGCTCTTATATAACATGAGACTACATCCAACAGGTAGTTCGGGATGATTTCTGGATTGGGCTGGACCCTTTAGTTCTTTCTGAGTAGTTCAATGAATGTAAGCATAACAATAAGTTTGGCATATTACTAGTAGCTTGATGAACAAAGACCCTTTTCCACCCATTGCACCTCCCTCGATTGTACCCATTTTTAGAGATGTTGTTTCAAATAGTTCGATATCCCACTAAACATCTTCGACGCAGCCTATCCCCTTTTGATCAAAATCATTACCTGATTCATCTTATATTTATAAGTATCCATCAGATGGCCTACTCGATCAGTTGACTGCATTAAACCAACTGTTTGCTACTAAAAAGTATGTCCTGTGGCGAATCTCGAGGTATTAACTGGGACATCGTTAAGGAAGGCTTCTTATGATGTCAGTTGTCATGGCGCATTTGAATCATCCTGCTAGTCCTATGAACTGCTCCCACGCCTATATCCCTTGTGATAGATGTGCCCGATCAGGACTTTTAGTTCCTCTCATTTTACTGTGGAGTGACAAATGCCTTCGGTCAAATTTTTTGGAAGGTCGGAAGAGTTTTTTCGGGAAGGAGACGGAAGTGATCATGTGGGCGAAATTGTGCTAAGAAACTTTCAGTGAGGGTTGCTTCTGGATCTCGATAGCGAGCAGTCATCTCTCGTGGCTTCCATCTTGCTTTATGAGCAGATGGGCATTCTGGGCCTAGAATGCTAGGGCGTAACCTTTCCTGACTGATTACATCAGGGCCGTTAATTATTACAATGCCCGACTTCATGGCGCACTTTTGAAAGGGCGTAAGTCGGGAGGATTGAGGGGGGAGGGGGAGCGTGGAGAAGGGGAAAGAAGGGGAAACTGATATGAAAGTCTGACTTTCATCAGAGCAGCCCTTTCTGGGCCTCATAAGTAACCGCCTATGACAGATGACTTAAAAAGGAGAATATATTCCTATCAAGGGTTCTCGAATTTGAAGTGCCTGCTTTGCGTGGGCTTACTTGATGTACGGTCTGCAGAAAACAACCTTGACGACGTTTCTTTGATGGCTCAGGCGCACATTAACTATGTATATAATTTGTGCATATATAATGCACGTAAAACTACTTCATGGCTGGAAGAGAAATATGCCATAACCTCTTGGCAGCACAAATCATTTTTCGTAAAATGGTATTCTCTATAGGGGTTTTAGGGATTGGAATTAACCTGGATTATAGGGTCTAGCTGTTTTTAGGAGTTCCGAGTATGGCAATGGCGCCACAAGGGATTAAACTGTCTTTTTAGTTGTACCGCTAGAGTCTTGGTGAGTTCCCAAGTGAAACAGCCCTCGTCGGAATCATACTGCCCTCACCTTGTTGCTAGAAGGTTCAAGCTCTTTGGTTTACGGGTAAGCCTTGGGAAAGTCTTTGGCGCGTTGGGGAAGAACTGTCATAGGTGTTTCTTTTTTTTTTTGCTTTCGAAGTTCCTCTTTTGGCGAGTCGTAGACCATACTTCCGTGGTTTTTGTTGAAATCCAGGTGAAATAGGAATCCATCAAGGAGGCTGATCTATGCCGCATCGTTTCTGCCCCCGTTCAAGGTTGCATGTTCCCGTCTGGGCGATTTGCAGCAAATAAATTTTGACTGTCATTGAAAACTGTGAAACCGCCCTTCTGATTGATGTACAAGGTGAACCATGTCAGTAAGGAAATTTATGACGAAGTGAAACCACCGACTAATGGAACGACCAGCAGCAAAGTACGATTCCATTCATTCGCCTTTCCAATATACTTTCCACTTACTTCACCATAATTGCATACCTTTTGATACCTAACTATTCATTAGAACCGGTCCACCATTCATTAGAACCGGTCCACTTTCTCTTTCGCCATCTCCCGTTTTTTTAGGGCTCGCCATGGGGGCTGGAGACAGTAAAATGCCCTTTCCCATTAGTTCGGTCTGGAAATGACCGAGAACCTGTGAAAAGAACCGCAAAAACCATTAAAAGCAGTTACTTTGCTCGCAAAGTCGTTTAGAGTTCCTGCTTTTTTCGTTTCCCCTTTGCATATTTACGACCTTTCCCACAATTGTCTGCAATTACGGACAGCGTCATACTTCTTACATGAACTTGCACCAGCTGGGATCCTTGAGTTCTCTGCAATTACAGAACCAACCGGTTATCGTACTCCAAATAAACCTCCTGAAACGTTCAACGTTCACGCATGTTGTTCATTATGCGCAACCCTTATGTCCTTATAAATCGGCGGCCGAATAACCCTTGAGCGTCTGTTTGGAAGAGAGTGCGCTACTGGCTGAGCGCCCAGACGACGTCCCGATTGTCACACCCGATTGTAATTGATAATAGGCTGTGTATTGCACGTCGTTTATTCGTTCTTGCAATGGTTGACGCGCAAGATTTCGGCGAGACATAAGGCGGCCCAGGCCACTAAACAGAAACTGTTTTAGGCAAGGAGGCAGGCAGCGCCCCCGATCCGACCCACCCATCCCCCGACGAACGTGCGAACAAAACGAGCCATCGCCCCGCCTGTCGCGCCTCTGTTCAGCAGCAACGAGCAGCTGCTGAAGTGTCGCCCTGCGTCGCCGAAGTGTCGTCCGATTGTCGCCGGGGATGAACGCCCGTATGTCGCGACTGCGACGCTCGTTGTCGCGGTCTGTCCAGCAGCTGAGCCTATCACGATCCAGCAGTCTGAACGGTCTAATCGAGCTCCCAACTAGTAGCTATACAACGCTCGTCGATAAGTTTGCTGTGAGTTCATCAACTGTTGGTTCATTTATTGACTCTATTTTCTTTTATTTTGTGAACTATCATTTTAAATCCTTTGGATAGACCTGTGGCTTCGATCGATGTCAGCAGGTGGCTTCCATTTGTAATGTTCTGTATTTTTTGTTTATCACGATGTTCATTGGCGCAGCCAGTTTTGAAAGGGTTATGACCAATTTTTTAATTCCAAACCTGCCACCACTGATTGAGCAGAGGGTCAGTGAACTTGTATCTTAAAGGCAGTCCCAGCAGTAGCATCGGGTAAACTATGGAAGCAATTTAGTCATAAAGCGAGTCAGTCTGAAAATACCCGACTTTCGTTGGTCTTCTGCTTCTGGCTATTTGTATACTTGTTTGTTTTACTCGATATTACTTTTTTTCTTTATTATGAGTTTGTTTTTTTTTGTTTCGTAGTCGGATGTAGGGTGCTCCTACGTTACAGCATGTGTTTCAACCTTTAATCTCGCCTATAGCACAAGTCTTTCAACTGTCCGATGAGCGGGAACAAAGTTCATCTAGGAAAAGGAAAGCACCACCTCCCGTAATTTTTGACCACTTCTAATGTAGGGCGTTTGGAACCTATTCGAAATTGAAACTTGAAAACAAACATGGTTGCACCGACGGATTTACCTTTACATTTGGTTTTTTTGCTTGATTTTCTCCACGTGTTCATTGAAAAAAGGGAGGCGTACGATGAGTGGCTCAAATGGCAGCAGCAGTCCTTTCTTTGTTTATTAATTGAATTCTCAAGCAAGCAGATGTTGCATATCCTAGCTCGGTCCATTTGGGTTGAGCTTATTGTGGTGGTAAAAGATTGATTAGACATATTTTTAGCCTTGTAGATTTTTCCAGTCTCCCCTAAATTTTATATGTTCCCTTTGTTTTGTTCTATAAATGTAATGTGCATGGTTTGAAAGTTTTGGGGTGACGCTATGAACGCTTCCAAAAGTTGAACTGTTTTTCTTTTCCTCTCTTTTCTCCGAATCCATCTACAGAGTTTGGGGCGAATTAGAAGCTTCTTTTCATTATTTCTATTTATTTTGGTTCAATTAATTTGTTTATTCAAGTTTTTTTCAAACTCCGACACCTTTTGGTTTTGTACTTTTTGTACTTATTACTTAAATTGTTCTTTTTTTGGTATTAATTTTTCTTCGTTGTTTTCATTTATTGCTTTCAATCTCTCGTAATTAATTTTAATCGCACCATGAATCAGAACTCGCAAATCTTCCCATTCTGGAATTAGTTCATGACCGATATCGGCCTGACCTGATTGATGTCTTAAGATTCTGCACTTTTTACGCAAAGTTCACTAATTTTCTTCTTTTCTGACTGTTTACGTCCTGATTTACGAAGTACCGGATCCTAGGCTCTGTGAACTGGAGCATTTATTGGGTCTTCGGTAGCCTCAGTTGGAGGACAACGTCGGTAACAGTTTAACGGTATCTAAAATCATGTGCATAGGATACGTATCGATTGGCTGCCATTTCGAGCCATTTTTTCCTATCCTACTTTGAGGATTAAACATCATTAACGTTTGTTGACGAGGAATAGTGGGCTGTTTGGCTAGTCATAGGTGACGACTGCAGTAAAACTGGTAGTTCTAATACAGATCAGGTGATACCATATTTGTCCCGATTTGATCGAGTTTTTTCCCCACCTTCTTAACCCTAGAGCCTAGGGAAGGTGAATCGATGTGGGCGTATTAACTTCCTTGGTGAAATTTATCACGAATTCCCGTTTCACTTGTCTCGGGCGCTGAAAAGTGGACCAGGGATTGTTACGAATTGTCGGTATATCGATTTCTTATGGGTTTTACATCGCTACGGTCTCGTTAAATCGGTTTTTAAGCTGCATATTTTGACCATCTGGCGACGAGTAGAAGTACTTTACTATATGGCTATTGTTAGGATTTTATGGGGCTTCTAATGGTCTTCCTCGAAGCAACAAATTCGGCCGCCAATATCTCTTGCCGGGCTTATCAGTTTAGGGAAGCGGATTTTGCCTCCTTTTCCTGGTGTACGGCCACTGGATCGGTTCGATTCCTATCCTCGATTGCTTGTTGGTAACTAGACGATAGTTTGTATACGATTTTATCGATAAAAAAGATCCACTGTGACGGCCCAATCTCTTCGACCAGTAAATGTTTAGTGAATATCGTTTGGATACGCTCTGTTGTCGCGGTTGTTACCGCGCAATGATCGATGCCCAAATTCATCGATGATAACGGAGAAGAAAGTTGATAAATGAGATGACAGTCACAAGGCCTGAAGTGAAACCTTCCCCATGGTTTGCCCTAGATGCAGTTTCGGACCAGGTGGGTCCACCAGGCTTTTTTCTGAAGGAGACCTTCACCCTGTTTGGACTCGGCAGCCTTCTATAATGTTAAACTGGATTGGGTTGAATGTCCTGGTTCTCTCTCGAAGCAGGGGGTTGGTTCCACCATACGAGTTCAAGGAAGGTAAACTCAACCAGAATCGAGAGGTACAACGTTTCAGATTACGCAAGATCCCTTCAAGCAAATGGGGATAATGGAAATTAGCGCTGCTGCAACATGTCTGAGATGGAACCGTACTCTGGATCCGACCGCGTCCGGGCCCATTAAATCAGTCGCCTTCGGTTGGGGTTGGGTACTTGGTACAAGATTCGTGTGAGAGAATGTAAACACAGACTTGTTGACTGAATGTCTCTTCTGTGCACTTCTTTGTATGGGCCACAAGCACATTCGAGTGCAACGACGAAGGTCCATTACATAGCGTATCCGAAAAAGTAAGGATCTTTACGTGGAAATGACCTTCTGGCAATCATTCGGGAGCATGCAGGACATTCAAATGAAAGGGAGTGGGAGCAGGGTCGCTCTGGGTATGTCTGATAATGTCTCGTTCCTAATTCTCGAAACCGCCATCAATGCGTCATCGTCGATGCTGAACCCTTCCGGTGCATGTGGGCAGGAAGTGGGGGATGGCTGAATGAGTCAAATTGACCGGATGCCTTGCCCCTTCAGCAACTGTTCCCAGACTGATAGGAGCAAAAGCAAATGGTTCGGAAAAAGGTTTTTAATTTATTGTAGGTGTCAAGTGACTGGAAGAAAACTGAGCTAGCAAATGTGTAAGTAAGACACCCAAAAAAGGGAATGCCCTGTTTGCAAGTGTTTTTGTTTACCTAGCAATGTTCGTGGGTTAGTAAAAAACTGTTTTCTTTTCGTGNCTTCATTGCTCAGTCTCGAAACCGCCATTAATGCGTCATCGTCGATGCTGAACCCTTCCGGTGCATGTGGGGAGGAAGTGGGGGATGGCTGAATGAGTCAAATTGACCGGATGCCTTGCCCCTTCAGCAACTGTTCCCAGACTGATGGGAGCAAAAGCAAATGGTCCGGAAAAAGGTTTTTAATTTATTGTAGGTGTCAAGTGAATGGAAGAAAACTGAGCTAGCAAATGTTTAAGTAAGACACCCAAAAAAGGGGATGCCCTGTTTGCAAGTGTTTTTGTTTACCCAGCAATGTTCGTGGGTTAGTAAAAAACTGTTTTCTTTTCGTGCCCACTGCAAATCGAGAGAGGCAATGACTAGTATCGAAACTACCCATTCATGGTCTGAGAGTAGCCTGTCTCCGAAAGGTGAAGAGGGTGGTACCTACCCCAAAAGTGTCTTCTATTCTTCTCCATCCAGTGCAATATTTGTTTTGGGAGGGAGGGGTATGTGGGTAGGAGTGTTGGTGAATGTGGGTAAACTGTCGGCATGTGGCTACACTTTGCACCTTGTTGGGCAAAAAAAAAACCTTAAGAGCGGTTTTGAAAAAAAAATGCTGTGCTGCGAAATCTTTTCGTGTGTTAGTGGTTTTCCGTGGAAGTCGACGGCTTGGCGTATACCAAAAACGTATTAGTCAGAGCTTTTCCAGTTCGCATTCAAGAATTCTATTCAGAATATTTTGCAAATCAATGGAACCCTTTCGAATGCCTCTTTTAGTCAAGATTCCAGAATTTATTTTGACTCATCGCATAGTCACTACCGTCTTTTGTTACTTCAGGCTTTTGGTATTGATCGGGTCTGACTGTTCAAGTGGGTTCCAGTAGGTGTTGTAGTTTTCAGGTCGTTACTATAACGATCGATAAGGGAAAAACTACTGTCAAGTCGGTTACGAGGCTACGAATATTACCGTCTATTGTGTATTTCTCGGTAATATGATCGGGCGGCGACTGTTTGCAACGCGTCGGAAAACATGTGACGAGAGGTTCTTGGAAGGAGATCGTAAAAATCAATAAAAGTTTGAAGTGGGTTTGCAGATGGATATTGAGAATCTGCAAACAGCTTTCAACTACACCTATTCGGAGGCAAATGGTACTATGATCAATATAAGCGCAAAATGTGTCTCAGTGAAGTCGTCCAGCAGATGGGTCACGTATTCAATTCTCCACACTCGAAAGGGAATTTGAAAGGAATTCGGTTGAAAGGATGGCATGCAAAAGTTGATTTATATCCGGATCAGGCCTTT